CACCTGGGAAAAGGACCCCAAGTCAATAAAAAGCAGTTCCCCAGCAATCGACTCTTTGCGAGCGATCACCAACTAGTGGTGGAGCTCTTTCTCTCCTCCTCCTGTCTGGGATCCATTTACACTGTGCCTCTATGCGCAATGGGAGGAGCCTCTGATCGCGGATAGACGCAGATGATGAAGATGATTCGTATTTCAGTGTAAATGTCCCACACTGCTATCCCGTCTGTGTGCGCAGTCTCGACTGTAACGAGGGGAGGGCGGTGGGACCCCTGTTATGGAGGACAGATAGCTGGGACCGTCGGGGATCAGGAGTCTTTCTATGGTAGTATTTTATTTTCTCTCCCGTGACGTATTCTGCAACCGACGAGGATTTAGAAGTAAGATTCTGCATTAGCGTTTAGCAGCGTTTGCTTTTTTTTTAAAAAAAACCCACATTTTTCAGGGTTTTTTCAGCTTTTTTTAGCGTTTTTGTGTGTTTTTGCATTAATGTTTAAGGGCATTTTTCCCGTGTTTTTCCGCGTTTTGCTTTTTTTTTTACCAATAAAAACACGCCATTTTGCAACATTTTATCGCGTTTTGCCGCATTTTTTCAGCTTTTCTTAGCATCTTTGCATTAGCGTTTAGCAGTTTTTCCCATGTTTTTCCATGTTTGCGTTTTTTTTTTTTAGCTTTTTTTTTTACTAAAAAAAGCACCGGTTTGCAATGTTTTACCGCATTTTGCCACATTTTTCAGAGTTTCTCAGCTTTTTTTAGCGTTTTTGCATTAGCATTTAGAGGCGTTTTCCAGTGTTTTTCAGTGTTTGCTTTTTTTTTTACCAAAAAAAAAAAATGCCGGTTTGTAATGTGTTGCCACATTTTTCAGAGTTTTTTCAGCTTTTTTTTTTTTTGTTTGTTTTTGCATTTGCAGTTAGTGGCGTTTTTTTTCCGCGTTTTGCATTTTTTTAGCTTTTTTTTTACTAAAAAAAACGCCGGTTTGCAACGTTTTAACACATTTTGCCAGCATTTTTTTTAGAGTTTTTTAGCAGCGTTTTCCATTAGTTTTTTTTTTTTTTTACATTAGCGTTTAGTGACGTAATGCAATTTGCATTTTGCATGACGTTTAGCAATTTTTTTTTCCGTTTTTTTTTTGGGCCAAAAAAAGTCCAAAAATGTGGGTTTGCGGCGATTTTACTGCATTTGCCCTGTTTTTTTTTCAGCGTTTTTTTACAGCTAAAAAACTCTTCTAGAAGGAAGGATTTTTCCTCCACATGAAGCCGTCATGCACACGGGACTCTTCCCGACTTCTAGAAATCTGTCAGATAGAATTGTAGAGATTGGGCAGCACAGTGGCTAAGTGGTTAGAACTTCCACCTAGCACTAGGGCAGTCGGTTCAAATTGCAACCATAGCCCTACCTGCTTGGAGTTTGCATGTTCTCCCTGTGCCTGCATGGGTTTCCTCCGGGTACTCTCCGGTGTTTCCTCCCACACTCCAAAGACATGCTGGTAGATTAATCGGCCCTAGTAGGTGTAAGGAATGTGAGTTAGGGACCTTAGATTGTAAGCTGTTTGAGGGCAGAAACTGATGGGAATGTACAATATACTGTATATGTAAAGCGCTGTTTTACCTCGTTTTGCAACATTTTATCGCGTTTTGCTACATTTTTCAGCTTTTTTTAGCGTTTAGCAGCGTTTTCCCATGTTTTTTTTTCCAGATTTCCACGTTTGCGTTTTTTTTTTAGCTTTTTTTTATTAAAAAAGCGCCGGTTTGCAATGTTTTACCGCATTTTGACACATTTTTTCAGAGTTTTTCAGCTTTTTTTAGCGTTTTTGCATTAACATTTAGAGGCATTTTTCCACGTTTGCGGTTTTTAGCTGTTTTCTTACAAAAAAAAAAAAAAAAAAAAAAACGCCAGTTTGCGACGTTTTAACACATTTTGCCACATTTTTTACTGTTTTTTTTTTAGCATTTTTGCATTAGCATTTAGTGACTTTTTGCTGCGATTAGCGGCATTTTCCAGCCTTTGCAATTTTTAGCCTTTTTTTTTTTTTTAGCCAAAAAAAGTCCAAAAATGTGGGTTTGCGGCGATTTTACTGCCTTTGCCTTGTTTTTCAGAGTTTTTCAGCGTTTGAGCGTTTTTTTACAGCTAAAAAACTCTAGAAGGAAGGATTTTTCCTCCACATGAAGCCCTCATGCACACGGGACTCTTCCCCGACTTCTTTAAAATCTGTCAGATAGGATTGTAGAGATTGGGCAGCACAGTGGCTAAGTGGTTAGCACTTCCGCCTAGCACTAGGGCCGTCGGTTCAAATTGCAACCATAGCCCTACCTGCCTGGAGTTTGCATGTTCTCCCTGTGCCTGCGAGGGTTTCCTCCGGTACTCCGGTTTCCTCCCACACTCCAAAGACATGCTGGTAGATTAATCGGCCCTAGTAGGTGTAGGAATGTCAGTTAGGGACCTTAGATTGTAAGCTGTTTGAGGGCAGAAACTGATGGGAATGTACAATATCCTGTATATGTAAAGCGCTGTTTTACCGTGTTTTGCCACATTTTTTCAGAGTTTTTCTGCTTTTTTTTTTTAGCATTTTTTTTCTTTAGCGTTTAGTGGCGTTTTCCCATGTGTGTTTTTTAGCTTTTTTTTTTTTTACCAAAGATTTTATTTTTTTTGGTCAAAAAAAAAGTCCAAAAATGCCGGTTTGCAGTGTTTTTACGCATTTTGCCACTTTTTGCAGAGTTTTTCAACGTTTTTACAGCTAAAAAGCTCCTCTAGAATCCCTTTAGTTTAGTTTTTCCAGCCAAAAAACGTCCCAGCCAAAAACGTTGATTCCAGTCTGTGTGTACGGACACATAGGATAACATGCTGGGGAGTTTACTGGCTGTAGAAAAAAAAAGTCAAACGCCAAAAACAGCTGCTGTAAAAACGTCACACGTGAGGGCTAAAGCTGAATTCCAGGAATTCAGCCACTTTGTAATCAGAATGTCCAGCGTCAGGCTCCCGGAACTACAGCCATAGCCGACTTCCCCGAGTTCTAGAAATCTGTCAGATAGAATTGTAGAGATTGGGCAGCACAGTGGCTAAGTGGTTAGCACTTCCGCCTAGCACTAGGGTCGTCGGTTCAAATTGCAACCACGGCGCTACCTGCCTGGAGTTTGCATGTTCTCCCTGTGCCTGCGTGGGTTTCCTCCGGGTACTCCGGTTTCCTCCCACACTCCAAAGACATGCTGGTAAATTAATCGGCCCTAGTAGGTGTAGGAATGTGAGTTAGGGACCTTAAATTGTAAGCTGTCTGAGGACAGAAACTGATGGGAATGTACAATATACTGTATATGTAAAGCGCTGTGTAAACTGATGGCGCTATACAAGTACCTAATATATAAATCAGTCCAGGAGGTGTCATGCACCTCCTCACTAAGAAAGAAAACAAAATCCATTGTGAATAATAGGTGAGGTCATCTCCAGATAAAAAGTCCACCAAGTGAAAAAGACGCACTCAGTGCTCCCACACCAGAGCCCAAATCAAAGGATGAACTGCCACTGCAACATACAGCAGCCGCAGCAATACCCCACTGCAGTAGGGGGCGGTGTGGTGCACAATTCAGTGCATCACATGGCTCCCTTTTTATTCAGTCCAGGAAGAAGAATCGATGGACTACAAGGATGCTCACCAGCGCCCTCGTAGTTCATGGAGAACTACAACCCATCAGTAGCAAAGCCTGTTGGTACTTGTAGTCTATTCATTCACAGGGTGCTGTGAATGGAAGACGTGGTCTTGTGGGCGGGAGCCAAGCAGGGCCACGCTCTTTTCATATTATTACAGCAGGTACGGGGAGAAGACCCCCCGGCCCGCTGTCACAGGGAGAGAGCGATCGGGTGGGGGGGGGGAGCTGCAGGAGCGGGAACATGCAACATGTTTCCAAAGCACTTATCCTTTAATTCCGTAGGCTTGGTCTTTAAAGGACCGTTCATAAAAGAATTCACACCATCTATTAAAGATCACATATACTCAGATGGTAACAGTGTTAGATTAAATCTGAACTCCAGGCACAAAAACCTTAAATATACTTTATTCCTCAATAGCCACAAAGGGTGTAAATCTGCTTTGTGTGCTCCAAATGCTCTTACAAATCCAGATATTACCTTGTAAAAGTAGCAGTGACATCATCACTCTGTGGCATATCAGCCCACATTGTCTGCAGCTCTCTCTCCCGGAGCAATAAGCTCCACCCTGTGGCCTGACTAGCTCAGTCGGTAGAGCATGAGACTCAATCTCAGGGTCGTGGGTTCGAGCCCCACGTTAGGCACGTGACATTGCAATGATTTTTGTGGAGCTTATTGGTCTGGGAGAGCTGGAGACATTGTGGGCTGCTTAAGTGAGCCGTCCCTGAGAGGTGATTCACATCTAGCGGCAGTGCTTCTCTGTTTATTGAAGGTGCATATCTTTTTCCATTTACAACATGACTGCAATATTTGTATTTATTAATAAAGGAAAACAATCAGTGAGCACTATGGAGGTTCTTCTTTTTTGTTGAGCTGGAGGGTAAAAGAGAAGTGTGGTATTAAAAAAAAACAAACTAACAATTTTACTCACCAGAGTGGATGCTGCATCTGTCCCCTGACATCACTAAACACAGAGAACTGAGTGACCAAAGACTGCTGATCAGTTCTTGGTCTTCAGTGAGCAGAGAGCAGTGACTGTCACCAGGGGACAGGAGTGGTGGGCTTAGGGTCTCAGTGGTGCATTGACAGGCTGAGCCAGTTGTCGGTCAGGCAACTGGGTGAATCCTGACATTAAAGTCGGGATCCCTACAGAGTCTGGGCTGACTGAACAACATCAAACAGCAGCAGACTTTAGCCTACTGTCAGCTGAATCTGAGTCACAGGAGTGCAGATCTAGTGTAGTCTTGAGACCCACAAAAGAAGTACGGCCAATAGAGCTTTGGTCCTACTTTTCAGTGAGCCCTATGGAGGTTCTTCTATTTTTGTTGACCTTTTTGGGGATGCCCCTGGTACCCTTTTTTTTTATAGGCTTTTTTGAGTTTGGGCAAGGACACAGGGGCCCCATGATCCCCTATTTCCCGGGGGCCCCATGAGTTGTCAGTCCGCCCCTGGTTAGGAGCCTATGTGAGCCACTGATTATGAAGAGGAGCTGTTGGGGAGTGAAATCCTGATCAGTGTGGTGTGTACTGATTGAATCCATCTGATAGGATTGGGGATTCTGTGTCCTCCATGGGAGTCTGACCTTTGTAGTGAGGGTCAAACTACAAGGTCAGAGTACACCTTTGGAGGATCCATTGGAGGATTCATGTTACCCATCCTGTGTTCAACTTATTGTGATCTCCCACAGGCCCAGACTGGGAAAAAAAATAGGCCTAGGCATACTAGACTGGGCAGACCATTTTTTAAAAACAAAATGACAAATAATGGCAACTACCCAGTTTCTCAATGTCTTATTGTTATTTTAGCCCGCTTCAGTCACCAACTGATTGCAGTCACCATGTAAGGTGGTGTATGGCTTCAGTCTGTTAGTGTATCAAAATCTGGTAGTACATCTAACACTCCTCTCCCCTCCCCCCAGACTTACAAGGCTGTTATCCAAAGGTGACCTCTTTGCTCCTTCACCCAGAGTGGATCCAAGGATGACGCAGAGCATAGGTGCCCGGTAACGCAGGAGTCCGGCGTGGGCGGCTGTTGTGCTCAGTCCTGGGCAGCCCGCTGAGTGTATGTCCGTCTTGTCTTCTATGTCTGTGAGTTCTGTTTTGCGAAAGGTGATAGGTCAGGTCATGGGGATGGGCTCTCATGCTGCAGGTGGTTCGTGGGGGGGATGCTGGCAGGGAGGCGTCCACCCCGCCGGCGGCGGACGCCGTGGTCACGGCGTCTTCAGAGATGCGGGATTTGTTATCCGGTTTGCCTGACTTGGTTCATCGCTTTGAGCCTGTCTCCAGCGGCTGCTTGGGTCTGCTGGGGAGCGGGGAAGGGTGGGTGTGTGCCGGACGTTTTTCCGCCCTCGGGCAGTGATGGGGGTTTGGGGGCGTTCCCAGGTATGGCAGTCGTGGGTGCAGTTCCTGGGCCCTTTTGCATCTCCGGTGTGAGCAGAGGGGACTCCAGTGTGCAGGCGGGGGATGGGGGACAATTCTTTTCGGCTAGCGGACTCCTCAAAATGTGAGGTCTACGTCTGTTTCGATCTGGAACTGTTTACGGATGCTGCAGGTTCCGTGGGTTTTGGGGCCTTCTTTCGGGGTTGTTGGAGAGCGGCACACCTTGGCCAAGGGAGTGGGTGGAAGCAGGCCTCAAGAATTTGGTTCTTTTGGAACTTTTCCCTGTGGTTCTGGCGGTGGAATTATGGGGTGATGCCTTCCAGGACTTGACAATGCGCCTCCATTGTGACAACCTGGGTGTGGTGCAGGTGATTAACTGGCTGTCTGCAGCTTCGCGGTCAGTGATGTGGCTTCTGCGGCATTTAGTTTTGCATTGTTTACAGTTGAACGTTTTTCTTTATGCTGTGCATTTGCCGGGGGTGGACAACCAGGTGGCTGATGCTTTGTCTCGTTTTCAGTGGGACAGGTTTCGAGAGTTAGTACCGGAAGCAGAGAAAAGGGGGGTTCCTTGTCCCAACTGGCTCTGGAACATTGCCTTGGAGTCACAGCGGGGTGGATTCGGCATTCCATGAGTGCAGCTACTTGTCAGCCTACTCTAAGGTATGGGGTGAATGGGGGCGATTTTTTGCTCCACATGGGAATTGATCCGGTGGGTCATGAGGTGAAGTATGCCTTGCTTTTTTTTCTTACCATGGGCTTTGATAGTGGGATCTCTGCTTTGGTTTTGGATCACAAATTGGATGGCTTGGCCTTTTTCTTTAAGCTTCAGGGCTGTAGGGATTACAGGAAGGATTTTTGGGTGCGGCAGGCGTTGAAAGGGTACCGCAGGGTTCGTAGGTGTGCAGATGGTCGGTGCCCGGTTTCACTTGACATGTTGGGGGATCTTTTTGTTCATCTTGTTGCTGTGTGTTCTTCTGTTTATGAGTGTTCCTTGTTTCGGGCGGCGGTCGCGTTTGCTTTTTTTGGGGCCTTGCGAATGGGTGAACACGTTAGCTCGGCTACGCGGGTGTCGGGGAGGCTTTTGATTGAAGTGTCCTGTTTGGCGGACTCGGTTCGGCTGTGGATCCGGCGGTCGAAGACTGACCAGTCCGGTAAGGGCAGGTTCTCCCATTTATCCTGTTGCTGCGGTAGAAACTTTCCTGGCAGTTTGACCGCGGTTGGGTAGGTCGTTTCTCATCCATTCTGACTGTTCGGCGTTGTCTTGTTTTCAGTTCACTTCTGTGTTTAGGAAATGTGTGGAGGCAGCGGGGGTCTCAATCACCAGCACTATACCTCTCACTCCTTTTGCATCTGGGTGGCCATGGAGGCTTCCCAGTGGGGTTTGGCTGATGATGCGGTTTGGCATCTTGGGCGCTGACAATCAGACCATTTTAGACTTTACATTCGCCCTCATTTGTTGAGGGCATGAGGGTTGTTGGGGTGTGTTCTGTTTGTCTGTTCTCCTTGTGCTGGGGTTTTTTTGTTTATGTGTTTTGCTTGTTTCTTTTCTTTCAGGTGGTGCGGTCTGCCTCGTTTGGATCTTGGGTCATTCTTATGTGTTTTGGGGGGCGAAGCGAGCAGATGTTAGGCCCAATGGTAGGCAGCTGGGCTTCCCGCGGCAGGCGGCGCTGATCCGTTGGATCGGGGTGCCTGGTATGATGTGGAGCAGGGTGGTGCCGAAAGTGCATCTCTTTGCTCGGTTGGACCGACCCCCAGATGTCTTAGTGTTACATGTGGGTGGGAATGAACTGGGTGCCAGATCCATTCGCGAGCTTATTCGGGATATGAACTTTGATTTTTTTGCAGCTTCGTACTGCGTTTCCTGATATGCTCGTGGTATGGTTAGAGGTTGTTGGGAGGACTTCCTGGCACTTGGCCAGGTCGGTAGACAGGATCAACAAGGCACACATAAAAGTTAATAAGGAGGTTGGTCAGTTTGTGGCCCGTAACGGGGGAGTGGTGATTCGCCATCAGGAGTTGGAGGTGGATATGTGGAGGTATCTTCGTGGTGATGGGGTGCACTTCAATGCCGTGGGTATTGATATGTGGTCCCTGGGGTTGCAGGACAGAATTCAGAGAGCATTGCTGGTGTTGGGGGGCACGCAAAAGGTGGTTGGTCTTTGGAGGAGGAAAGAATTCTGTATGGAGACAGACTGGGGACCCATCAGTGGTATGGGGACCTCGGTACATTCCAGTTAACAAGGGGTTAACTTGGAATAGGTAAAATGGTCGTCCCTGCGGATAAGTAGGGTTATGTGTTGTGGCTGAGGGCGTAAGTTGAAGGAATGTTTTCCGCAAAAGTGAAGTTGGGTTTATGGCCCTCAAATGACCACCACATTTTCCTCTGTATATAATTTGGAATGTTATGTTATCTATGTTGAAATAATTTATTGGTTAATAAAAGGCTGCTATGGCCATTTTGACTCCAAAAACTTGGTTTGTGTATTTTGTATAGCTGGGATGGTGGAGTATATGGCCTAGCAGGCTTGGTTAGGTTGGAAGGTGTATATTCTACCCGTGTCAAGTTAGGCCCGGAGCAAAAAAAAAAAAAAATAAGCGCAGGGTCGACATGACTAGGGGGAATAGAGGGACAACAGAAGGTTAAATTATGGGAAGGAAGTTTTGGGCTTTAAGGCTTAACTTATTGGATGGGGGATGTTGGGGAGGGTCTCCCAGGGAGAAAAAGGAGGGTCTGTCCTCAGGAAGTCCATTGGGGGAAGTTTGGAGGAAGAAGAAGATGATGAAGCTTCCCACCCTCCCTCACCTTTCATGCTTTGGTTTGGATTATCACGGCAGCCTTGGCGGTGGTTGGTCTTTTGGAGGAGGAAAGAATTCTGTATGGAGACAGATTCGGAACCCATCAGTGGTATGGGGACCTTGGTACATTCCAGTCAACAAGGGGTTAACTCAGAATAGGTAAAATGGTGGTCTCTGCGGATAAGTAGGGTTATCCCCGAGCCGTTGTATTGCGGCTGGGGATAAGTAGGATTGTCCCCGAGCCGGAGTGTTTCAGCTGGGGGCCTAAGTTGAAGGAATGTTTTCCGCAAAAGTGAAGTTGGGTTTATGGCTGTCATATGACCACCACATTTTCCTCTGTATATAATTTGGAATGTTATAATAATAATTTATTGGTTAATAAAAGGCTGCTATTGCCATTTTGACTCCAAAAACTTGGTTTGTGTATTTTGTATAGCTGGGATGGTGGAGAGTATGGCCTAGCAGGCTTGCTTAGGTTGGAAGGTGTATATTCTACCCTTGTCAGGTGCTTGTTCTCTTATGTGTCAGTCCACAAAGACCAATCCTATAGAAAGTGTTTCAGTGCAAATAAAGTGTCCAAAGAAATTCATCTTCTAAGTGTGAATCCCAAAATCCAAAGTGCTTGTGTCCCTGTGACTCCACTCTTCTGCTGGATTCCTCCTCTTGGGTATGAACACCCCAAATGAGTAGACCCCTTACATCAGGGGGGCTCAGGTCTGCTGAATGCCGAAAGAGTTAGAGAAGGAGAATTCGGCTTTCAAAGATTTAAGGAGAAAAATGGAGAGGATCGGTTCCTGTATATGCCGACCCCGCCAACCCCTCCTGTCCAAGTGTAAAAGAAAAAGTGATAGGGAGGCCACACGGGCCCCCTGGAGCATGGGGCGGATATGGCATTGCGACCCCTGATGCTACACCAGTGGTTTGAGGGGTGGGGTAAAAACACAGTTCAACTATGAGGTTTTACCGCCCCAAACCACAAAAATAAACAAAGCCTTACTGTGCTGAGCCCCCATACGACTGTTTTCACACTGCAAGTATATGATCCAAACGCACACGTTCCTGCGTTAAAAAATGGCTGTGTGTATGAGTCGGTGCTGCAGTGACCGTCGGCTGGAACCGAACAAAATCAGCAAGGAAAAAATGTCACCAGCACACCGAGGATTCACCAATATGGGTCCAAAGGTTTTAATAAACCATCACATAGTTACAGCAAGGCAACGTTTCGGAGTCTCGCAGGACCCCTTCATCAGGCATGTGACAAATCGTGATAGAAACTG